GTGTGCGCGCGCGTGTGTGTGTGTGAGATATAACCAATGAGTAATGCTGGTGTCACTCTCTGCAAACCAGGATTTCTGCACAGAGAAAGGGAAGTTAAGAGTCTGCTGAGGCTGAATAGAAGCTGGGGCTGGGATATGAGCTCTTGTCCATGCTCTGTCCACGAGGTACACACCTGGCCCCACCCACTGAGCAGGCCAGGCACCACAGTGGGGAGAGCACGCAGTGAGGGCCTCTGGGCCCTGCCCTTCTCTAATAGGAGCCAGCACTGTCTTGCTCATGGATCATCCAAGGCTGGGCAGGGAGTGTGTGCAATGGGCCTGAATTATCTCATCACGGCAGACAGGACTCAGAAACACTGCTGGAGACTTCTGCAGCCCAGAGGGCAAGCTTTGAAAGCACAGTAGGCAAAAACCCTATGTTGAAGACACATCAAATATGCTCAAATCCGAGATCTCTGGATGACACCACAAACCCACAAGAAGCTATGCCCTCACTGGCTCCAGTGGAGGCGTGAACTCATTTACCTCAAACCAAGAAGAAAAGGAAAAAGCTCAAATGCGCCCTCCCTCTCCTACGGGTGCCAGACATCAGGGTTACCAAGCAGTTGGCAAAGGGAAGCCTATTCTTGGCTGATCAATGGCACAAGTAGAGACAGCCATTCTGCAACCCCCAGTGAAAGGATGACCTGGTGACAACTGTCCACCTCCTGACCTCAGAGAGGATCCACTGTGTACTCAAGTCCCCACCTCACAGGGGAGCGGAGGGATGGGTGACTCAGAGAGTGTCAGACTCACGGCTTTTCTCTATAGGACACACTGAGTTACGTACTGAAATATTCACACATGAAACAATACGGTGTGGAGGGCCGGGGATTTAGCTCAGTGGTTCCACTGCCTGCCTTGAAACAATACAGTGTGGGCTGGGGTTTGTCTGAAATGCCCAGCAAGGGAGGGGAAGAGGAAGCCAGCCTGGCCCAAGTCAGTTCCTGTCCGAGCTGAGGCTGTGTGTGAAAAAGAGAGCTCGGGATGTTATTCACTGTATTTCTGCGTGCATTCAAAATTTTCCATAATTAAAAAATATTAGCTGGGTCACCTATAATCACAGTACTCGGGAGGCTAAGCCAAGAGGGTCACAAGGTAAAGTCCAGCCTGGGGAACTTAGCAATACCTTGTCTCAAAATAAAATGAAAGGCGGGGGATGTAGCTCCATGGTAGAGTGCCCCTGGGATTGACCCCCAGGACTGCAAAAAGCAAAAGCGAAACACTGCCCGTAACTGCCACCCCACAGCATCGGGCTGAACTCGACACCGCACTTCAAGAGCCACCAGGGAACAGATGAGACATCCCTTGCAGTACCGAGGACAGAGTAGAGCAGCGAACCCATCCCTGAACACCAGCAACATCCAGGGTGGGTGGCCTCCTCTGCCCTGCCACCTAGAGAGGCACGTGGCTGTCCTGCTTCTGCACCTTGTCCTGACCCATCCCAAAGGGCTCAGCAATGCCCTCTGTTCTGTCACCAGGTGAACCCATGAGCTGTGTGCCCACTCTGGCCCTGGAGCAGCAGTCAGTGGGCAGCTGGCGGAGCCAGCCCAGCCCCCAGCCTGCAGGTGTGGCCAGCAGAAGCCCTAGCACTGGTGCCTGGCTGAGCCCTCCCAGCCCCACAGCAGGACAGCGTGGCCCAGCTCCTGCTCGGCGCCAGAGGGAAAACCGGCACCCACACTAAGCCAACAGTCTGCATGCATCCTACTGAACCTGTGCAGCCCTGGGCTGGGAGGAAGAGGGAAGTGGAGAGCCAGAGACCCTAGCCCTTGAGGCACAGGATGAACAAGAACACAGACCAGACAAAGCCAGAGGCTGTTTGGTTGGAGCATCGAGGGGACCCCAGCTGTGCAGAACACCAAGAGGGAGATGACCTGCCACTCACCCCCTACTTCCTGCCCTTGGCTGAGGGCTTCCAATGGCCCCTTCCCTGGGCCAGCCCCGCTCCCTGCTCCACACACAGGGCCAAGCTGTCTCCTCTGAACCTTCTTCCTCATGGCCTCACCGCACCAGGGTGTCACTCAGCAGGTCCGGCATGGGTCCTGGCTGGGCTCCCTGGTTTCACCCCTTACTACTCAGAGGACTTCACCCTGCGTGCCTCAGTTTCCTCTCCTGTGAAACTGGGAGGACGTGGAGAGGAGGAGAGAGGATCAGAGGGAGATGCCATGGGATCACACATGCAGGGATCCCGCAGGCTGCATGGAACCACTATCCCGTACAGGCTGAAGGCCTGAACAGGCAGGGCTGGTGGGCCAGGAGCCCAGGGTCTCTCATGTGCACGCAGAACAGACACACAATTTCAGACTCCTTCAAAAAGCCCTTAAAAATTCCAATTTAACCATCAAAAATGCACCATGCCCGATTTGCTAAAATAATCTGAATTTGGGGGATAGGATTCACTCCTTCCACCCTGAGACTCCCTTCCCTTCTGGCCTGGAGGGCAGCAGATGGGAGACACAGGTGCAGGAGGCCAAGGGCGTGTGGGGACTTCCTAACTTCCGAGCCCAAAGAGCCCCACGGACCCACGCCTGCCCCCATCCCACATCCAGTGGAAAAGCCCCTGAGCTCGAGTGGGTGCCATGATGTTTAAACTCAGCCCCACCCTGCAGGGTCCCGTGTCCTAGGAGTGCTTTCTGGTACTCACGCAGGAAGTGCTTCTCCAGTAAGGCGATTTCCAGGTGACCCTTGATCTCGTTCAGGCGATCAGACTCTGTGCGGATGAAGTCTGGCGCCCCAGTGGCCATGATGAGGGTCCCTGGACCTGCCTGGAAGGAAAACACTGAGATTCAGAGGTGATGGCACAGAAACACCCTGGGTCTCCACCCAGGGTCCGAGGCCTGGGACAGCAGGTCAGCACAATGGCCCCCAGGTCCCTGCTGCACCTGCCTGAACCCCTGGAAGGAAAAAGACACAGCTCTGCTGCAGGGCACACAAGCCCGCTCAGGACCTCAGAGTACGTGGACCTCAGAGTACCCTCGGCACCAACGTGAGGTTGACATCAAGAAATAACAGAGAAATTAAAACTCTTAAGCAAGGTGCTAAGCGCCTAGATGGTGGCACTGCTGATCTTGGGTCACAGCAGTGAGTGTGCAGGGGGTGCTCTAGCCTGACAGCGGGACCTGGGTGGAGCATGCAGCCATACCACACAGAACACACAGGAAAGGGGATAGCTCCCAGGCAGCCAAGGCCTGAGGGGAATCAGGGACAGCCACCTCCTGTCCCCGCCACAGAGGCTCATTAAGCCACTGTCCTGTTCCCACCTTGGGGAGCTGGCTCCAGTTACAGGTGCCCAGGGGGCGGGCACAGAAGGCGCTCTGCAACCTGCTGACCAGAGGGAAAGGAAAGAGGCCTGCAGGGCCATGCTGGGCACTCACATGGTCCCCCTGCTTGGGGGCTGCCCAGGGAGAAAATGTACCAGAGTCCCTGCAGGAGAAAAGGACCCAAACTCTGCACCTGGGCCCCAGACCTCCTCCTCTGGGAACAGGGGTAGGGAAACAAGATCTGTGCTCAGGCTGTTTGTCTGGGAGCAGCACAGTGGATGCTCCCCAAGACTGCCACTTGCTTGGAGCCCATGGCCCGGGGAAGGGGCTGGTGGAAACCAGTGGGTCCAGGCGGGCCCTGGGCACCTGACCTTCTGCACTGTCAGCTACTCTGGCTATAGGACACACGTTCCTGGGGGTAGGGGCCAGGCCATGTTATTTGGTGCCTTCTTGGAGCCTGCCATGGGCAGCAGGGAGATACTGTGGAGTGGGGTGAAAGCAGAGCAACTCCATCTGCCCTGGATGTCACTTGGGGTCATTCTCTGCCCTGATGCTGACTAGGGAGGTTCAGACGTGGGCACTGCTCAAGGAAGCCACCTAAGTTGGGTGCTGGGAGCTCAATGTGCCTCAGTACCCCAGATCCCCTGTCCACTGTCCCAAGGACTAAAGCTCAACAGGCCTGGGAGGGGAAATGCAACCCCACATACTGCAGCCAATGCAGAGGCAGACCTGCATGTCTATGTTCCAGGCTGACCTGGAGGAAGCTCTGGGATGCAGGGATGGGGCAGGTGTCACTTGGGAACCATAGGGCAGACATGGGCGTCTAAACATCTGTCCACAGGTGCCCCAGCACAGCCAGTCCCCGATGAGCTCAGAGGGCCTGAAGGCCACTGAGACCCAACTGGGCAGCAGGACTGTGGGCAGCACCCACTACTCCACACATCCAGCAGTGGGCAGGGCTGCAAAACCTGCAGGTTCCTGACACATCAAAGATGAGTGACTTAGTGACCTAACAAGACCCTATCTCACAAGTTAAAAAAACAATTTTTTTAAAGGGCTGGGGATGTAGCTCAGTGCAAAGGCTCTGGGTTCAATCCCCAGGACTGCAAAAAAGAAACAAAACAAGACAAATGAAAAAGATAACAAAGTCAGATGCTCAGACACCTGGCGTCTGCCCCACAATCATCTAGTGGGCATGTGGACAAGTAGCAGATGCCAGGCTGGCTGGGAGGTGGTAAATGGCTATATACACAGGGCACTCGGACTCCCAGACACTCCCTCTAGTTAAAGCGTGCTGGGTGTTTGGGACATCTGCTTTGAAAAAACATTTTAACTCCGAAACAAACTTCAGGCCCCGTGTAACCTGATCACCCCCATGGACCCGGGGAGCTCCAGGCCTCCTGGCAGGTGACCCTGGCTAGAGCCCCACCCCTGCTGTCATCTACTCCATCCTGAGCAGATGGACAGCCCCTTCCCTGGGGCCTTCTGGAGACGTCGCCCCTTCCCCTGGCAGCTGAGTCACACAGAGCCACCCTGCCCCAGCATAGCAAGGCTATCTGGAGAAGAAGGTCATCAATGTTGAATGGAAATGTGATCTGGCAGCCCAAGCAGCTCACAGCCTCCCTCCCCACCCAGGAACCACTGCACACCCCCAGCACCCTCCAGTTCAACCTGCCCTCCACGAGCCCTGCCTGTCAGGGAACATGGCCTTGATACCTCACCTGCTCTTTCTGGTTTTGAAATCTGCAGGTGCAGAGCCCGAGGGCCACACCTGGGCTCACAGGACTCTTTCTTCCCCACCATCTGCAGAGAGACCTTGCAGGTGACCCAGGTGGGCAGCCTGAGGACGGCCCAGGGGTGGGCATGGGACACAAGGGATTAGTGAGCCCTGCCCTGCCCGGGAGATGTCCAGGTGTTAGGTAATTGTCAGGCATCACCTAACACAGATGACACAGCACAGAACCAAGAATCCCTGGCACAGCACCTGCTAAAGACAGCATGTTGTGTGCTCCAGGGCTGCCAGCCACCACCCTGCCCAAGACAGGGACCCTGGGAGCCCCGTAGGTGGTGCTGAAGAAGGAAGGTCTCCTCCTCTAGTGACTAGGCAGGCCCAGGGGCCCCAGGAGCCAGTGATGTCTGGGCCTGCATCATCGGGGCTCCTGTCTGCAGCAGGGACAACACCTCCAGAGAACGGGAGCAGACAGCCAGAGCCCCTATGGGCTGCCAGGGCCTTCACCTATGAAGTCCCCACATGGCCACACCCATCCCCCAGTCTAAGTCCCCACCTTTACCATGCTGGGGGCTCCCCAGGGAGCACAGGAGAGTAACCCGCCCTTGACAGAACTGTTTCCAGGAGCAATGTCTCTGTGCCCAAATCAAAATGGTGCCCACCGTGATCAGGAGACTGAAAGGGCAGACTGGGGGGCTAGGAAGAGGTGGGGAGAGGAGCAGCAGCCTTGGGGTCTGGAACCCATGCCTTGGTCCTGGCTGGCTCTGCCGGTGGCTGGGAGCACGACCTCAGCTATGAAAACCACCCGAAGCCTCAGTTTCCCCATCTGTCAGGTGGGAACGATGGCCCCAGAAAGGAGCTGCCCAGGCCGTGGGGCGGCACAGGCCCTGTCACTCCGCGTGTCCCTCTAGGAGCAAGACGGCAAGGCTGAAAACCCAGACCAGGCAAGCTCTGGGCCCCTGGCTCCCGAGGAGCCTGCAGCTAACAGGCACCTTCAGGGCAGCAGAGGAAACCAGGTTGGACGGGGCCACCCTGCTCCGGCAAGGCAGCCCAGGCAGGACAAGTCCGGAGGGACCGGGGATGGGAAGGGAGCCGGAAGGCCCAGCACGCGGCCCACTCACTCACCCAGCCAACCAGTGCCCCACACAGGGCAAGGGGTGGCCACGTGGCAGACCAGAGAGCCCTGGTGTGGGGACAAGCCCAGCCGTCCTGGACAGCACCTGCACTGGGCAACACAGGGCAGGAGCTATGGGCGGGCAGCCAGGCCGTTAAGGGGCAGCACTAGTAAATTATTAATTTCTACCAGGAGCAGCACAGTCACAGCCCTATTACGGAACATTAATGCTACAGAATCAGGGAAAGGAGTGACGGCAACCACATCTGGGCTGAAAACCTGGCTCGGGCTGGGAGAAAAACCCATGGGCCAGCAAGAACGATGGGTAAAAGGACGGTGCCTGCAGCTGCACTGGGGCTCTGAGGAGGGAGGAGGGAGCGCCCCAGCCAGCCTGGGAAAGGGCAGCCCACACAGTGCCCTTCCTGCCACCTCTGCTCATCCAAACCCCATGAAGCAGCACTTCCAGAAAGCAGGGACCCTCTGGCCGTGCCCACCCCAGCACAGGCCGGCTGAAGTGCTCCACGGATGCCCGATGTCCAGCCAGCCCTCAGGGTCAGTGACACCAGTGAGGCACACCTGACAGGCCAGACACACAAGGCCCTGCCCTGCCCCTTCCCCACCAGTATGCTTCCAGGGTCAGGCCGGGGCCAGCAACACTTCCACATGAGAAGTCTGCCGACCAGAGAGGGAGGCAGGGACAGGCAGCCGCTGGGCACAGAAAGGGTCACCCAGGGACAAGAGGAATCTGGAGGGGGGTGGGCCTGCGATGGGGAAGCACGGCAAGGAGGGGCGCGAGCCCCATTCCCATTTCCAGCCAGCCCGGGGGGACAGCAATCCGGCACGCCTGCACTTGACCTGGCCACTTGAGGACCTAGGTGAGTTCCAGCGTGCACCGGGGATGGCAGAGACACGGGCTCGCTGTACTCACAGGGTCCCTGAGCTCCTGGCCGTCTCGGGGCGAGGTCCGAGGTGTCTTCAGGGGCAGCTCGTCAGCGCACTCAGTGTCCGAGGCATTGGGCGACTCTGCCAGGTCCAGGCAGTCCTCTCTCTTGGGGCCTCTGAACCTGATCCTGTCCAGCCTCCTGAGCATGTTCAGCACCGAGCTCCTGGGCCTCCCCTGCACATGACGGGCGGGCTCCCTACAAGAGAGGGGGCTCGGTCACTCGCCAAGCAACACCTGCCACACACAGTACCTGTCCCCAGGCTCCTGCTGGTGGGTGTGGCCACAGACTTCCTCTTTGCCCACCAGGCTGGGCCACCACCTCTGTCGCCCCATCCCTCCAGGCCAGCCAGCCGCAGACTCCTCCTCCACCTTAGTCGGAGCAGGCCCCCAGGGCTCAGAAGAGCAGAAGGACATCCAGGTCCCCAGCAGGCCATCCTGCCTCACCATGGGGACTCAGACCCAAGGCTAAGGGAAAAACATGGTACCGAGAGGGGGCCAGAGGGCTGGTCACTCCCCAAAAGTCCTACTGTCACCAACACAGCAGATATACAGCTATGTACACCCAGGGATGCTGCCCAGGGCTCTCTGCGAGGTGCTTCATCCTTGCACCAAGGCCCAGCTCAGCCTCAGAGACTCAGCCTGGGCCCCACCCTTTCTACAAAGCCCCCTCAGGGCCAGGAGGAGGGGACCAGTAGGGCCACACCCCCACACCCCTGGCCTGCACGTTGGGGCCAAGGTAGCAAGGTAGCCTGCCAGTGCAAATGCACACCTGTGTGTACCCAGAGACTTACATGCCCAGTTACAGCAGGACAGCCAGGGCAGCACTCAGACTCCCAAGGGGTGGGGAGTGGCACCCCCTCCCGATGTACAGCACTTTACGCACAGCTGGATGGGCAGAGGGCCAAGGGCTGCCAGGTTCATCCCTAGTCCCCACCACACAGCTCCAGGCCCGTGCTGCAGCCCAGGGCCCCGCCCCTTTCCACACACCTAACTCCCGATGTCCGAGGCCTCAGGTCCCAGGGAGCACTGGACTGACACCCTGGGCTCCCAGCTGGCCTTTTTCCTGTGAGGCAGGAATAATCCTGACAAGGCAAAGGCATTTTGGCAATCCAAGGTGATACACAGCAGGGTGGGGGCCTGACCTTGGCCTGGACCCAGGGAGCCACAGGACTGTTTCCCTGGGAGGAGGGGAGGGTGTGGAGTGGAAGGGCTTCCTGCTGGGGGCAGCAGCACAGAGCCCAGAGGGCAGCTTGACGGCAGCAGGAGGTGCTCATTGGCCCAACCCACCTGCCTGCCTGGATGGCGCTGCAGCTCAGGATGAGAGCAGCTAATGGTGGGGACCCCAGATCTCAGCCAGCAGGCACTCGAGCTGGCTCTGAGCCAAGGGGCAGCTCAGGCTGGGGGTGCCAGAGGGACCTTGGGTGCTGCTGGGACAGGCTCTCATCTGGACGTGGAACCTACACAGGTAGTTCCTGTGGCCAGTGGCCCCTGGGAGCTAGCGGGAGTCCAGGGGTGGGCCGCACTGCAGGAGGCGAGGGTGGAGGACAGGCCACCATGTGGAGAAATGTCACATACAGGAACTGTGAATTCCAGAGCGGCTGATGGAACAGCAAACTGAAAAACAGATCAATCAAAAGAAAAGAGAACTTGCTACTAGCAAACCGTAGAGAGGAGATAGTGGTCTGTATTAAGAGACCAAGCTGGGCATAATCCCAGCACTCAGGAGGCTGAGGCAGGAGGATTTCGGTAAGTTCAAAGCCAGCCTGAAGTACATAGTGAGACCCTGTCTCAAAACAAACAAAAAGACTCAAAAATGAATTCACAAAGCAAAAAAGTCTGACAACCCAACAAATATGAAAACCTCTCCTTTGGTAAAAAGTAAAAGAAAAGCCAGACAGGGTGGCACACGCCTGTCATTCCAGCACTCTGGGAAGCTGAACCAGGAGGACGGCAAGTTTGAGGTCAGCCTGGGCAACATATTGACTTAGTGAAATCCTGTCTCAAAGTAAAAAGTAGAAGGAAAATAAGGACTAAAACAGGAAGTACGAGTACCTAATATGATATATGAAGATGAGTATCTTGGTGATTAGACAGCTTGAATCAACTGAGGAGAACTACAAGCCCACTTCCTAACTCCTGCTGCCAACATTACCACCAGGAGGCAGTAATCATGAGGTGCACGAGGGCCAAGAAGGCAGATGCCCTGGTCAGGAGTCCCACCCCTGAGATGCCAGTCCAGGACCAAGTCGAACACACGCAGCCCATCTCATGCCTGGAAACACTCCTCAGGGGCAGGGCAAAGACCACCGGCACCCAGTGCTCATGCCACCTCAAACCCCGACAGGCAGGGCCTGGGCTCCGTCCGTGCCATGCACTGTGGCCTCACACAGGATGCCAGTTCTGGAAGGTGACATGAGACGTACAGGGTGCTGCACTATGACGCCAGCTCAGGACAGTTTTAGCAGCTCACTCTCCAGTGCCGGCTCTATGTTTTCCTCGTGCTTTTTTGAAGATATTATTTTATTACGGTAAAATATACATAAGACTTCCCAACCTATTTATGTTTAAAGGTGCAAGGGGTAACACTGCGTATCCACCCCAGAATGCTTCATCCAGTAAAGCTGAAACCGCACTCATTAAACCCTGATACACAGTCCCCTCCCCAGCCACCCCCAGGCCACCACTGCTATGGCTCCAACTCAGAATGTGAGACTAAAACGGCAGGAAAAGGACAGACACATAAATCCTACTGCAGCAGAAAACCTACTTCCTGTGCATCCAGACTCCGCCCTGGCCACCCTTCCTCCTACTAGAGCAGCAGCAAAGAGAGACCCCAGGTCTGCCAGAAGGCTGTGCGCACACCCACGAGCGGAGAGGGACACACACACCTGAGCAGAACAGTGGACAGTGGTACCTGCGCTCCTCCGTGGCCCCCGTCCCGGCTCACAGATGGCTCCATGCTGAGCTCTCCTCCCTGCTATTCTGAATCCCTGAAGCCACCCCACTAAAGAGGCCATCACACTGGGAGAGGGACAAAGGCACCCAGTGTCGCCCATTGCACACTGAACACGCGCTGGCCACTGACGAGCTCAGCCCCACCACAGTCCTGCGGCCCCACTCACCCTGCGCTGGGCAGGTGCCCACCCCAACATGCAGCCCAGGAACAGGGGTCCTGCAGGGCCCCTCCCTGCCCTCTAGCCCAAAGCCCTGGGTTCCTTAAAAGCAGAAATATCCACGCTGCAGGCTGGAAGGGCAGAACTCCATGCCATGGGCCAGACCACGGGCCCTGGCCTAGCTGTGCTTCCACCACACATGTCCCAGGGAGGGGGCCTCCCACACCAGCACCCCCAGTCTCGGCTGAGCAGAGTCCCACCCGTGCCAGGACAACCTTGTCTCACAATCTCTCCCTGACCCTGTTTCCAGGTAAGGTGCTATTGCAGGTTCTGGGGCACACATTTGAGGGAGACACTGTGCCACCCAGCACACCCCGACGTACGGAGAAACCGAGGCTGGGGCCAAAACGGTCTGTGCCCTGGCCTGCATCCCAGGGCTGAGTCTCAGATCCGGCATGTGGCCCCAGAGCGAGAGCTGTTCTCACCACCCATCTTGCTCGAGTCTCCCAGCCCCTGCTGTCCTGGGTGCTGTGTCCCCTGCAGTCCCCATCCCCAGCTGCCCAGCCCCACTCCCCACCATCCTCAGACTGCAGCCCAGCTGCTCTCCCCAGGACACCCCACCACACACCCACCCAGCCCCTGCCTGCTGTCCAGCTCCACAGGACACGGAACCCAAACTCCTGCAGCTGCCCCTCAACAGGGACCAGCCCCTGCCCTCCTGGCTCCTGGGAGCTGCTGCTCCCCCACTGGCCCCTGCTGTCCTTCATCAGACCCTCCCTGGGCTGCGCAGGGGTCCAATCTGACCACTAACCTCTGGAGAGCACACCCCACCTGCCCTAGCCTGCACCTCTAGACCTCCACCGGAAGTGGTCGCTTGGACAGCTCAGATGCAGCTGTTTTGGTGCACACAGTAACCACACATCCCCAGAGCTGGCTCCACACGAAAGGCCTGGGGAGGGTGGTGCCTGCAGAGCAGGGCTGTGGAGGCTCCCAGCACCCCAGGCTCTCCAGCCCCTCTGTGCTAGCAGGCTGGAGTCCAGCCGGCTGCCTGGGCGCGAGTGTGCTCCTTGTGAAAGTGCTGAATGGCTTCCGGACACACAAAGGATGCAGTGTCTGCACCCAGGCTTGGGAACCACAAAAGGGCTCATTTCCCTTCCCAGCTCAAGACTGGTAAGAGCAAGCGGGCGCTAGCCTCCTCCATGTCATCGCTGGGCCTGGCTTCTTTCTGTAGCCCTGCAGCCTGCCTGGCTTTGTCCCTCATTCCCTCCTTATCTGGTGGCTCCCCAAACTGATCCCAGATAAACAGCACCCACTTTCCCACAGGATGCCAACAACCCTTACTCCTCTGCAACATCCCGGGGCACCAGGATGCTGGACAAGACCCGGGCCCTGTGTCCCTGGCCCAAGCTTGGTGCTCTCAAGAAGACGGCTCTAACCTCCAAGTCAGCAAGGCCTGGGATCACAGCGAGAGCCCCAGATGGACAGACAAGGTCAACAAGAGTGGCTGGAGAGGGCATGAGAATGGAGCAGATTCCTGCGAGGGAAAAGGAGGGCCAGGCTCCCCAGCCCTACCGCTCCCCATCTCCCCATCTCCCCAAAGCGGGATCCCAAGGACCCAAACGCCCTCACAGCCAGCCCGTCTGCCTGGCCCAGACTGGATCCAAGTCCCTGGAGGCCTGTTGTGTGCCCCTATCCCCTTAGGTGTCCCCATCTGCCCGACACCAGGCTCGGGGTGCATTCGGATCTGCACAACCTCGAGTATGTCTGCGAGACACCTCCCTCACCCCAATTCCACCACTGTCCTGCAGGCTGGGCCACCATAGGCCTGATGATCCGGATATCAGCACAGGATGTCATGCCAGCCTCAACTCTGCACCCACCGGCCTCCCCACCAGCTCCGCACTGCATGTTTTTTGTTGTTTTGTTGGTACCGGGGATCGAACTTGGGTCCTTGCACTTGCGAAGCAGGCGGAGGAACCACTGAGCTAAATCCCTAGCCCTTACACTGCATGTTAACATCATCCCAGTCGCTGCTGTGAGTCTGAATGGCCTAGAAACAGGGAGGGACGCCCTGATCCCTGGG